TATTTTATTTTTTTAAAGATTTTATTTATTTATTTGACAGAGACACAGCGAGAGAGGGAACACAAGCAGGGGGAGTGGGAGAGTGAGAAGCAGGCTTCCTGCGAAGCAGGGAGCCCGATGTGGGGCTCGATCCTAGGACCCTGAGATCATGACCTGAGCTGAAGGCAGACGCTTAACGACTGAGCCACCCAGGCGCCCCTTATTTTGAGATTTTATTTTTAAGCAATCTCTACACCCAGTGTGGGCCTGGAACCCACAACCCTGAGACCAAGAGTAGCCCTTTCCACTGACTGGGCCAGGCAGGTGCCTCATGGCATATTATGAGGATTAAAAGAGTTACTTTGTGGTTTAACGGGCTTAGAACAGTGCCTGGCACAGAGGAAGAGCCATTTGAGTTTGTTATTATTCAAGTGTCTGGTGGCCACACCTCCCCCAGGAGAGCAGAGCCCAGAAGGCGAGAATACCGATCTGCAGAATTTGCTGGCTTCCCTGAGGGAGTGGTGAGGAGGTGAAGAGGGGCTGTGGGAGCCACCAAGGCCTGGAGAGCCCTGGCCTTCTTGCCTCCCACCCAGGGGCCAGGGAGGTAGAAGATGAAAGTGAGGAGCAGGGCGAGCCCCATATGTTCCCCATGACCCAAACTTTGTTCCCAGCAACCGAGACAAATAGGCATGAAATCCACATCTGGGACCCACCTCCGGCCTGGCCTTTCCCTCCGCCTCCGGGCATCAAGCCCAGTCTGTGTGCTATGATGGGGGCTCAGGGTCAGGTGGCTTCCAGAGCTCTGAGGAGGCTCCTGCCCACCTCACCACTGCTGATGGCTTTCTGGAAAAGCAGACTCCTGAAGTACATAAGAGCCTGCGTAAGAATTTGCCCAGCAGAGGAGAGAAAAGAGAACCCCAGTTAGAGGCAACAGTTTGTTCAAAGGTCTGGAAGCTCAAGGGCCTGGTATGGTTAGAGAAGAGAGATGAGGCTGGGGATTGGTGGTAGCCAAGGCTTGTGAGGCCTCTAAGGCCAGGCTAAAGGCCTGTGTGTTTCTCCTGGGGGGTGGGCACTGGGGAGCCAAGGGAGGTCTCTGAGCACCAGAGGGGGAGGGTCAGTCCTCTGTGAGAAAAAAATCAGTGATATGGGAGCGCCTGGCTGGCTAAGTCCGAAGAGCATGCAACTCTTGATCTTGGGGTTGTGAGGTGCAGGGATTACCTAAATAAATAAAACACTTAAAAAAAAATAAAACCAAAACTCCCACAGTGTTATGGT